AATATTGTTCATTATACTATCTAGTCCTATCATGTGTAACAAACATGCACTAATTGGCATATCACGGTGAAGCATGAATCCTTGCTTGCACACAAGCACACCTATATCTCAATAAAACAGATAGAGAGGAAAGGAGGGAGCGAAACTCACACACATTTCTTCGAATTTTGATTGAAATAAGAAATCATCACAGTGCATGCTCCACAACCACCCTCACCACACCCAAGCTTCGTTCCAGTCAGACCTATATCTGTATCAGAATTAAGAATGAAAACTTGGAATAACAAAGATACATAAAGCAAAATAATCTTCAAATAAAATAGCTGAAGGATTTACACATTACTTCCATAAGAAAATTGGGAAAAGTAGCATAAACATGTGACAATAATTTTTGCAATAAAGAAATCAAATATAAACATTAAACTACCATCTTCCAGAGAGTAAAAAATAAAAATAAAAAGCAAGGCTATCTTACAACAGTCATACTTAAGACTATGTTTGGCTAAACTTCAAAAGAAGTAAGTCTTTCTTGCCAAACAAAATTTCGAAAATTTTCACAAACAAAACTTACATTTTTAGAAAGTAACTTCAAAACTTAGCCCAACATGCTCTTAAATACTCCATCTACTCATTATGTTATGCCAATTATACAGGAGCGACTCACAGGTCTTAATTTCACACCCACAATAAATAGAAGTTGTGTAAACAAGAAGAGCAATAGAGCATAAATCATAAAAACTAAAAAAGAATCCCCAAAATGAAAACAAGTGAAAAGCTTAATCATGCTCCACGTTTTTCCCCTTCTCCAGCAATTTTATTACTTCTAATTCCAAAAAAATAATATTTTTCATCAAATACACTTTCAAATGCCTCAAGGACTCCAACGTTAATTATTGTCAAGAAATACTGTTTCTTTGTCATTCATTCATTACTGTCGTTTCATCAAACATTCTTTATGCAACTGGAGGCTAAACCTAAACTCCAAATCATAAAAAAAAAAATAATAATAAAAAATCTATCCAGATGAAAGTCCTTGAAATTTCAAGAATTACCCAATAACAAAATCAATTCCAGAAACTACTGTTTGAATAATTATAGTTGGAAATATACCTCTGAGATACTCGAGAAGAGTTAAGTGGGCAAGCCCATCAGGCAAACCTCGACGAACACCATTGACATATAGGATCGCTTCTTTTGATTCAGATTCTTCGATTCTTTCCATTTCAGTTTGTGTCTTCAAAGACCCCATTTTTTTATTTTTTACTCGCTCTCCTCTCTCTGTGTTTATATGTAATCCGCCTAGAAGTGGGGATCGCTCAACTTTAGAATTGCGTAATGGGATTTCTGGACGGTGGTCGGGTGATCAAATGAGATTTGACTGTAACGTTAAGGCGGTTGGGCTGTTAAAAATAAGCACGGCACCGGCATGCACACCATCAAAGTTTTACTGGTAAAAACTAAATAGCTTATTTGGGCACCCAATTTACATGTGTGTTGTTTTTTAGTAACCGAACTTAATTTTCTTACGAATTTAGAACTCCATTTCTATTGACTTGCCTCCTCTCCTCGGTACTGTCATCAAAATCTTAACGGAACTTGTAAAGAGTCCTGATCGAAAATCAGAAGTCAAGTAGGATTCGTCGGCTGCAATGAATAAATGGATATAAAGAAAACTAATCATTTTTTTTTTTT